CTCCTTGTGGCCTATATAATCTAATTGACCCAATTCTGATGCCTAAAGTAATAAGGTGCTTCCTCCTGTGGTCTTCAGTCTATTTTCAGAAGTTGTGTAGGCATTCTTTTCATATAACACAAGAGCCCAATCTTTCTCCCATTTCTCTAGCAATTGTTAACTGGAGGACATTGCCGTTTTTCAAGCAGTAGGATCACAAGGACTCGATCAGAAGAATCAAGATTTTTTTTGGTGGTACTGGGGTTTGAACTCAGGGCTTTTTGCTTGCTAGGCAGGCAATCTATCGCCTGAGCCACTCCACCAGAAAGATTCAAGGTTTTAATCTCAATTTGGCACTAACATGCCTCTCAAGTCACATCTCTTTTAAAACAAGGCAGATATAGCCGGATGACAGTGGCTCACGTCTGTAATCCTAGCTACTCAGGAGGCAGAGATCAGGAGGATCACAGTTCGAAGCCAGTCCAGGAAAATAGTTCATAAGACCCTATCTCAAAAAAAAATCTCTGCCTCTCTCTCTCTCTCTCTCTCTCTCTCTCACACACACACACACACACACGAAGGCCCTAAGTACAAACCCCAGTACTGTAACAAAAGAAACCCAAGACGGATAATTCAGAGATTCATCAAATTGTGAGTTAAAAAAATTTAAATCATAGTAGATATTAGAGTTTGAGCCACCTTAAATATTCACTAAAATCAAACAAAAACCTGATCCAAATCAAAGCAGTTATGACTGTTAACTTCTAAAGAATCACATAAAACTCCTCCCACTCCCTCTTTCTGGGGGAAGGGTGAAGGGTCTCACTATATTGCAGAGGTTGACCTTGAACTCCTTGGCTCAAGAGATCGTCTTGCTTTAGCCTCCTGAATAGCTGGGATTACAAAAGTGTACCTCTGTGCCTGGCTCTTAATCCCCCTTTTCATGCATGCTTTATTCTCTGGTGACCTGCCATATTTTCAGTATAATTTCTCTATTAAAAAACAAAACAAAACAAAAATTTGGAGAGGTAAATTGGTATGCTCTTTGAAACACATGGGAACTGAATTTAATGATACTTTTTCAAGTAATTAAAATGCTCTTTCAAGAAAACACATTTCAGATGACAGCAATTAAAAAAAATATATAGTCTTGTTTTTCACTATTGAATGGAATGTGAATAGGTGATAATTTTAAATCACTGTTTGAATGAAATAGAAAATTTGGGATTGCTAATATTTTTGGAGCTGGAGAAATTTTGTTTTCTTTGAAGCAAAACTTGAAAAGAGAGGGGTTTTCCAAGACTGATGTCAAGTCAAAAATAAAATTCTTTGCTGGGCCCTGGTGACTCATGGCTGTAATTCTAGCTACTCAGGAGGCAGAGATCAGAAGGATCACGTTCAAAGCCAGCCCTGGGCAAACAGTTCACCAAATAGTCCAAGAGACCCTGTCTTGAAAAAACCCATCAAAAAAAAAAGGACTGGTGGAGTGGCTTAAGTGGTAAGAGTGTCTACCTAGCAGGCATGAGGCCCTGAGTTCAAATTGAAGCATCGCCAAAAATATCTTTTACTAAAATTTAAACAACCAAACAATGCAACCAGTTTTACAAAATGGAGATTTCTTTACCAGAGATTTTGGACAAATCTCTCTCATTGGTGGAAAAAGACCAATGCAAGAATGGTATGACATGAAAACCCACTAATAAGGAGTAACAAGTAATGTCACATGCACCTGCACATCACAGCATGGGACACCAGTAATGAGTCTACCTTCACTCTACAAATGAAAAAACTGATCCCAGGGCTTTGTGTAGGGCCTGAAACCTATGTCCACTTGTTGGTAAATCATTGGTTTGTTCTTCCATGTACTACCTTAGAGGGATGAAGGTAGGAGGCAGCTTTCCAAAGGGAACCCCAATGGGCAGAATGAAGGTGATTCTTAGTTGCATAAAGAACCACCCTCTGAAGAAGACAGATTAGCACCATCTCTACACACTAAAGAGATCCATATGCATGAATTCAAATGGTCACTTTCCACTTATGAATGTGGCTCTAATTCTATAGGAGTTATACCAGTGAAATGCCTCCTCCTTCTTCCTTGACTTCAAGATGAACATTCTATAAATTTAGTCTTTAAATTAGAATTTTTGTCTCCTAGTTCAGAGCTATGTCTCCAGAAGTGATGGGAAAGGAAGATAGAACTAGATTCTTTTAAAGCAGGGAAACCCAACTGGCTTTCTTGAAAAGCCTACAAGCATTAGGAGACACCTGTTCAGAACAAATTTGAGACTTGAGATTCTGGGGATAGCATTTAAGTGAAGACTCTCTGGTATTCCTCCCAGGAGGTGGATGTGGTGGGAATGAACACACAAGGACAAGAAGATCTGGGATGAATGCATGCTCCCCTATGTACCTGATATCACTTTCTGGACATAATTCTGTAAGTGTTGGCCTCTGATCCTGAATTTTCAGTACAGGAACAGTATCTACTGAAATACAGCAAGCTTGAGTTATGGAGTATCAAAAGTGTCACTGTATTAACAAGTCCACAGTATGCCTCTGAGCCCTTCGTGTAGGAATATGGAAAACATAGACAACTGGGTCAAGTCTGTGTTCTGCTTAGAGTCTTAGTCTAGTTACTTGTACTTCTAAGGGGACAGACCTTTCTAATAATTAGGCCTACATCTTTCCTGCCCTGTGATGAGATTCTCAGGTTGACCTCTAATCTGCTTGCCTTCCCCTTTCTTTCCAAAAGATCAGAACTTTCACTATACTTTCAAAACAGAATGATGTTTTCATTGGTGAAGCAATAGGAAAAGCTGTCTGCTTTAAGGCAAATATTAAAACAAAACAAAACCAGGCTGGGTATGGTGGTGCATGTCTGTAGTCCTAGCTCTTCTGGAGGCTGAGGCAGGAGGATTGCTGGAGTTTAGGAGTTTGAGGTCAGCTTGGGCAAAACAGGGAGACCCTAGCTCAACAAAACAAAATCAACCAACCAGCACAAAAGCATGGCAATGTTTCTGGAGGTCACGTCCACAACTCAACAGAGGGGTTGTGACCTATTACAATACCCCTTAACTTATGATGACAAAACATAATACAAGCAGTAGCAGAAGGGTTAGGTTAGGAAAACAGGGGCTTGTGATTCCACAGAAATTCAAGTACTACACTTGCTAGCTACCAGCTGGTGTGGCCTTGGGGAAAATGGCTCTACCAGACATTCCTCCATCCCATAAGGGATGCAGATGCCTCTTTCACAGGGGGAGGTGAGGACTCACTAAAACAGCTTGGACAGGCTGCCCGGCTCCTATGATAGGCTCCACAGATGTCAGCTTTCCTTCTCATTAGGACCTAGATTTTAAATTAAAAGGTGCATCGTCTGCAGCAGTGATGTGTATAATTTTCAGCATGTTTCTGGAGAAAATGAGCCCTTGAGCTCTAAGAGCAAATACTATATGTGAACTTAATTACAAAAGGGACTGCCAGGAGACCCTCCCAGGACTGCCTTGGATTGGTACTTACAACATCAGCAGGGAAGCAAAGGCCAAGGCCCTGTACCCTCAGGAACCCCTTCTCTGTGGGCTGGCTGGCACTGCCTACACATAGCTCAGGCCTGACATCAGCGCCTGCTGGCTACCCACCAACCGAGAGAGGAAGCTTTTCATGCAGGTCATGGTTCCTGTTAATGTTAAGTCAGAGCTGGTCTCCTCTGAGAGAAGGGTCTGGGAGGTTGGAGGAAAGAGACAGCTTATGTGGCTCTTCTGCCAAGCCTTTTCAATTCGAAGGCATGTCACAAAGACACACATTCCTTTAGCCACTGACTTTAGCAACACCCTAGCTCTAACCACGCCCCATCAACTCAGGCTCAGTCAAACCAAGGCAAGAAAACAAACAAGGCTTTGATTCCATTGTGAGCAAATCAAAGAGCTGCTCAAACTCACTTAAAGGAGAGAGGAGAGAGAGGAGAGAGAGAGAGAGAGAGAGAGAGAGAGAGAAGAGAGAGAGAGAGAGAGAGACACTACTCTACCCCACACTGTTTACTATTTTCAACAAACAGACTCAATCAGAAAGAAGAAATTTGGCTTTAACTTCTGAATTGCCTGGAAATGTTTGGAAGTTTTTGGCGGCTTCTGCCTACTGAACGAAGTCTCTGAAATTAACCTTTTAGAGCCAACCTTCCAAAATTAAAACAAACCCAAAAAACCCTTCAATATTCTGTCCCTGGAAAAAAGACTGCTTGCCAAACTCACATTTGCCCTGGCAAGCTACTTGCCAAAGTAACTATTAATAATGCAGCCCTTCAATGAGGTTATAAAGTATTTCCCTTGACTTTGGAGGAAATGCCTTTCAGGTGACCTCCAAACCTTATTATTTATTTTAAAGGTATACCAAATAAATTTGTTTCTTTTTTCTTATTCCAGAACAATGTCCTGTACGGAACTCTGTGGGACAAAAAGCCAGCAGGGGGGTTACCCAGGGGGCCAGGATGGTTCCCAGGGTCCCTGAATACTGGTCTGGTTCTGCTTACTGAGCTAGCGCATGTTCACAGGTGTGCTCAAGGTAGAAACTCATTGCTCTGATCTGATCGTTGCACTCTGAACATATGCTATGCCTCTGTAAAAAATTTACTTCCTAAACAGAGCAGAACAAAATAGCCACTGCCTCTCAGAAGAGTACCTGTCTATTGAGTATCCAGCCTGCAGAGATGCACTTTCAGAAACCACACAACAGATGTAGCCTGCACAAAGCACCACAGCAGAGGCAACTCTCACCCTCCAAAGTGGCACAGACTTCATCCCTGAAGGAATCACTTCGCCATTCCAACTATTCTCTCCTGAAAACATTCTGAAGCAGGGACTTGCAGCAGCAACCTTCATAAATTGATTTTTTTTCCCATTCAAATCAAGGCTGTGTCATTTTGAACTTCAGAGTAACCTTATCCAAAACAACTAACAGGGTGCGCTGTCTGACAAAGTTACAGATTCTATATTTGAAAAAAGAAAGAAAAAAAAAAAGGCACTTACCAATTTGGTCTTCTGGGATCAGCGATTCAATGGGGGGGTCCAGCTCGGAGCTCTGAGACAAATAGTTCTTGACCTGGGTCATGAACTGCCGGATGGTCTGCAGCATGTCAGTGCTGGACACGTGGCATTCCTTGTTTTCCTGCAGGAAGCTCACGTAGTCTTGCACCAGGCACCCGAAATAGGTGCATTTGTCCCGGGACAGCTCAGCGATCCTGCGGACCATCCTCTTCTCGGGGGTCATAAAGGAACTGAACACCCCGCTCATCTTTCGAAGCTGGGACTTGACGAGCTTGGGCAGCACAAAGGAGCTGTTCCTTTTCTTTTTGGACTTGATGGGGGGAGCCATGGTCTCCTGGTCGCTCTCTTCATAGTCCTCCAGGCTGCTGTTGGTGTCCGCCTCGTAGCCATACAGAGGCATGCTCCGGTCGAACTCCAGCGAGTCAGAGGAGGAAGTGGAAATGCTCATGTCGCTCAGCCTCTGCCTGCCTCCATGGCACGGGGGCCGTGGTGATTCAGAGCTGGGAGGCTGGGCCCTTGTGCAATCCCCGGGGACGTCCTCAGGCGGGGCTCCACCTGCACTGCCAGCTGTGCCCAGCTCCAGTTCCCGGCTCAGGCCCGGCCGACTGGCGGTCAAGGTCTTTGCGCTGCCTTCCGCTTCCAGAAAAGAAGCCTGCTTCTTCAGGCGGGGTGGAGGGATGGGAGTTGGTTTTCTTCCAAGCTGAGCTACGTTCCCATGTTTGTTATGGTTGACTGTTTCTGGCATGCTCGTTTGGGTTTCAGTCCTGGACAGCCGAGGGCTTGTATAGAGACTATTAATAGCGGGTGGCGGGGGCCTGGGTGGGGGGGACCGAGGCCTCTCGGTGCCATTCGCGTTGGGAGTCCTTGTACTCGGCCGCTTCAGGCCTCCACTGAGGTCCTGGCTGTGCACTTTCAAGAAAAGAGGATTAATAAAACACAAGGCTCCGTTGGTCTGGCTGCACTCCAGCTCCGAAGGCGTCCTGGTTTTTATAGAATGCACTCCATTTATAAGGCAGAGCTGACGCAAGGAGGCAGGGCAGATGTGGTCGGAGGAGAGAGGCCTATGGGGAGGTGGAGGGTTTGGGGGTTTGTTGTCAGCTGAGGAGCTCCAAAAATCTGAAAGTCATTATCAGTGAACACAAGAATGTAAATATAGTACACTCAGGCCATTCCTTCACAAATTTAAAAAACCACACACTGTAGGGACAAGGCACCTTTTAAAAAATTTTTGCATTTATTGCATTCCCTTACCGGCAAGGGCAGAAAGGCTTGCCAGGCCCAGCTCTGGGCTGGCAGGAAGGCTCCAGGGTCCTGTAACCTTCTAAGTCCTTGAGAAATGTTGTCTCAGCCAAGACACCCAGGTCCCACCCTTCTCACAGGTAAGTCAGAAGGAAAAAAAGAACTGGAATGGTTACAGTATAAGCTCAGAAAAGGCCATCTGGGCTCTGGGGCTTGCTTTCTAAAAACCCAGTCAGTTCAGAAAGCAACACCACCCTTTCCAATCAACTTCTCCTGGGATGCCCTCCGTGAAGGCTTCCAGCCAAGGAATTGGGCCTTCAAGTTCCCATTTAATCCGTAGGATCAGCAGCTGGGCCTGGAGGATGTTACTCAATCTGCTTGGGGTTTTACACATTCAGCATTAAAACCCAAAGAAGAGGAAAACTACACTCATGGGTCCCATCAGCAAAAAAAAAAAAAAAAAAGGCAGCAAGCTTATGCAAATGTTAAGTGCAGTCTCCATCACTTATCTACAACCTCCTTACTAAGGCCGATTTTGGAGTAGTACGGAGTGTTTATTGTGTCTGTACTACCTGAGTCTTCTCTTACACAAGAGTCTCTGTTTTCCATGCAAACCAAGGGAGGCCGTGATAGTGATAAATATGTGTTATAATTTCTACTTGGAATAGGTTTCTCTGTCTGTATATTTCTCTCTCTCAGTGTATTTGCTTTACCTGTGTTTCTTTCCTATGGGCCCAGAATGGCTGGTCACAGAGGGGCTGGAGGAGAAGCTTGCATTGGGAGCCTGGTTCTGCCCTGTCTGTGTGGTGACAAGCCTGATGCTGGTGTCTGTGTCATCTCCTTCATTTATGAGGGCTTTCTTATATCCTTCCTTCCCTTCCCTTCCTTCTACTTCTGGGCCATCAACCCAAGAGTAAACAGCCACAGGTGGCTACTGAATACCTGAAAAATGGTGCATTTTTCAGAAACTGAGTATTGAATTTTTGTTCATATCAATCAATTTAAAATTTAAAATAGATACCTCAATTCATTACAAGCATTTAAGTATGTTTAGAACTTGCTTATGAGAATCTACTTTTTAAATTCTAAATACAGATCACATATTTCTGATGTAAGTTTAGGGCCTGAATGGAGATGTAAGTTTACAACAAATACTGGATTTCAGACACCTTGTACAAAAAAACAGAATATAAAGTATATCATGAATACTTTTTTTGGATTTCTTATACTGATTACATGTTGAAATGATAATATTTTGGATGCATTGCATTAAATACAATAAATTATTTAAATTAGTTTAACACCAGTCCTTTTTAAATGTGGCCGCTAGAAAAATTTAAATTACACTAGGGCTTGCTTATGTTTCTGTTGGCTAACACAGCAGGTTTTGGAGGAACTAACTGATCCTTGGTTCTTTGGATCCTGTTTGGATTTCTACTGTCATGGTTGTAAGACCTTGCAAGACCTTACAAGGCTTAGAACACTTAATGTACGTGTATCTCCTTTGTAGACTAGGAGCCTTATTAATCAGAGAAGGAAAGATCTTATTAACCTTCAAGTAGACTTTTAAGAAATATTTGTTGTATGAATGAATAAATGGGGTACAGAAATTTAAAATGTGCCATCTCCACCCCAAATGGGTAATGGGTACATTAAGAATAACAAATTGAATATATACTCATTAGACCACATTCACTTCTGGTTAGTTAGTGCCCACTAGTGCAAGCTACTTTTGCCTTTATCTTTGCAAGGCACAGGCACTGTCATTGATATTCCAGTCCTTCAGCCCCCATGCTAAGCATACACTGCATGTTGACCACCAAACTAGAGCTAAGGGGATGGAGGTCACCAGAGAAAAGGGAGACCTGGTGCATGTCTTCAAGAGGCCTTGTAATCAGGTGGTGGGATGTAGCTCGGGGGCAGAGCACTTGCCTGGTATGTGCAAGGCCCTGGGTTTGATACCCAGCATACACCACAAAGGACTATAATCTATCTGATTATATTAACTTCAGGAAGTATTTCAATCTCTCTTCAAAGGGGTGTAGGACTTTGTTGCAAGAGAAGGAACTACTTTTAAATAGGGACATTTTCATTACTCTGCCATTTTTTTTTTCCAGGATTCTCTTTCCCAATCCTACTACCCAGAAAGGCCTCAGACACATGTGGCAATCCTTTTGAAGCAATTAAAATTTCAGAAGGGAATGCGGAGCTTCCTCCAGCTTCTCTGTGAATGAGGGAGGCCCCCTAAGAAAAGATACCCACTTCAAAACAAGTTCTTCAGATTAGAGAAAAATATGACAAAGGGGGATATATATATATATATATATATATATATATATATTCAATGTTTTAGGTAAATATTACAGTTTCTTAGGTTCTAGGAATTCTGATACTAGGGCTTCAAAATCCCAAACTTCCATTCCAATACTGTGGTGTGATTATTAACTTATCCAAAGACGGAAGTCTAAAAGAAAATTTCCCCTTTCCATCCAGAAGAAAAATTTTAGCCAAACTTAAAAAGTCTCACAGAATCCCCAGGGAAGTGGGACAAAGAAGTTGAACCGGGTGAGTTGTGTGTCCTGATCTGGTGTCAGCCTCTGCCCAGCAGAACTGTGGGAGGTTGGGAAGCCTCAGCAAAGGGGTGAAAGGGAGGAGCTAGTTCCAGCTGCCAGAGCAAGGATCCTTGGCAGGGTAAGGGATGTGACCCAGAATAGCAAGGCGGGAATTCAGTAGTAAAAGGGGAAGTGAGGCAGATGTTACTTAAGATGCTTTCATTGTCAAATTCCTCAGAGCACAGAAATGGCATCCATGCCCATGTGCTACTCAAAAATAAAAAGCTTGCAGCACCCTGGAATTTTCTTTGCCCAGCAACAGCTCACAGGTGTCTACATTATGATAGGCTTTCAATACTTGGTTGGTCCTAAACCACTGACAGGAGAAGCTAGGGAGATTTGAGGGTACCCAGACAAAACCAGACCCAGTTTTTGAGGGTTGGCTGAACATTTGGACTTAGGAAAAGAATCCCAGAATGTGTGATTTCAGGTCCTCATGCACCTCAGTGCTGGATTTTGCCATTGGAGGTGAGGATTCTTTTTGACATAGCAAGGTAGCATTAGCTAGTCCCATGGACTCATTTTAAGACAGAGCTGGGCAGGGGAACCCACTTACTTAGTCCCAGCTGGGCTAGTTCTTCAAGCTGAGCCTCAGTCTTGGCTGTTGAAATGGCATAAGGCAACTTCAAGGTGAACGGCAGCACATCCCTAATATTTCAGAAAAAAAGAGAATGTTTATACGTGCCCAGCTCCTATTGCTTGCATTCATGTTCATGCTTGAGATGTTTTAGCTTACTGTTTAAAACATCCAAAGTAGACACCACACCACAGAATGTCTCTTTACTAATGACAGGATTCAATGCTTTCCATCCTTATCTTCATTAGCACACTCAGGGAGGCCAAGAGACAAGGCCCCCATGGTTTTGGGGTACACAGTGAGGACCAATCTCCCTGCTGGGTAGCTAAAGGTATGTAGTTACTATCAGAATTGCTGACTATGTTGGTAGGTCTATCACACCTAAAAAACAGTAGGCACTAATTTGCTAGATGCCTATCTGAATGTTAGACTCCAACTCCCTGGACAGGAATGTGCAATCCTAAATTCCATCGCCTTACACATGGCAGGTGCTCCGTGAATGTCTGCTGATATCACTTGTGACATTTTCCAACTGGAGGCTGCACATTGTCCTTTGTGTATGGAAGACAAAACTCTGCCCTGTGTTTTTAAGGAAAAATTTTTCCAACTTTAATGTACACAGGAATTCCTAGGAGTCTTGTTATATTGCATACTTGGATTCAGGAGGTCTGGGTGGAGCTGGAGATTCTGCATTTCTGCCAAGCTCCCAGGCAATGAGTGCTGCTGGGCCCTGGACCATTCTTTGAAGGCAATTCTAAGGTGGTGGGATTGGTTTAAAAAAAGCATTATTCTTTCATTCATTTGACTAATGTTTATGACCATGTAGGATATGCCTAGATGTTATATGTTCCAGGGCTAGAAATAAAACACCGAAGTCTGCATAGGGTTTCCTTTCACTGCAAGAGAGGATAAATAAATATGCAATTTATAAAATAAATTTGTAGAATGGGACATATATAGAAAGTGCCATTAATAAAGGTTATACATGAAAGAGTATTTGAGGGTGATATTTGGGCAGACAAGGGTTCCCAAACAGGTGATACTTGAAGATCAATAGATGGCCAGGAAAGAGACCATGTGGGGAAGAATACCGCAAGCAGAGGAAGCAGCAGGTGAAAAGGCCCTGGGGTAGGAGAGGGTTGGCATGTATGAACCACAGCCACTGTGGTTGGGGTACAGTTAGGGAGGGATAAAACCTGGAGCTTCTGCTTGTATTCTGTTATTACGAAAATGTCCTGAAAATTTCCATTGAAGAAAATAACTATACCAAATGACCTGTTGTTTTTGGTAAGATTAGGCAACCAGATTAAATCTGGATGACTAGACAATTTTGGAACCCTTGAAGCTGTTTACAATGAATAAACAAGTCGTAAAATTAAGGAAAAGAACAAAAATATGGATGTTTTGATACTTCATAGTGTCACAAAAGCTCTACTATGCAGCTCACATGAAGTCAGGAGGTTGTTTTTCTGAGAATGTCCAGCCCAGATCACCTGATTCCATGAGACCTTTTCATCTCTCCCCCAGATGTTGTGAGCATTCCCTTCTGTGTCCACTTGTATCTGTCTGAGATGAAGCAGGTGGAGCTTCAGGGGACAGCAGCTGCTACGTGACCTGGCAGGGGCAGTGACCCTCACTACAATCCGAATGAACAATAACAGAAGGCAGGACTTTGCAATACCAAAGTATCCTGCAAATACAAGTTCACATCGATGGACCCACTGAATTAAAATCCCATTTCTTCGGCCAATTTGGGAGAAAAGCCAGTGCAACAAAGCCAACCTACCTTAAGCTTTTGCCTGGCTCAGGACAGTGCCTGGAGTTTAAACATCACCTGACTTGTTTGGGGTTTTCATAATGACATATGACAGGAAATAACATCTGCCATTTGTTAATGGATGGTTATAAGCTTTGATCTACTAGATCAAATTAGATGTTGTACATGAGTCCTTATTGACACACATACATGGGGACACTTCCTGCTCACTTACAGCCTATTAAAGAGAGGGTCCCAATCTTATAGCTTGCATAAGACAAAATAAAGCCATCATTTTACATATAAATGTGTCACCTAAGAGTTTAAATACATGTGTGGTCTAGATTTATTTCATCTCCTCTATATGTTGCATTTCTAAAGGAGCAGGAACTAACATTATTTGACAACTATTATTGCACTGCACCTGGCCCTTTAACTCCCGTGGGGCCTACATGCCAATGCTAGGAGGAAGCCATGATGCCCCATTCTATGGAGTCAGAATCATACAACGTCATAGACAGGTAAGGTCCTTGGCATGCTGTCACAAAGCCTGCGGAGTGAAGTGGAGGTTGGAACCAGCTGTGTTGGATCTCAAGGTGCATCTAAGTGGCAGAGTGTAGTGGGAAAATATGAGCTTTGGCATCGAGGTGGCCTGGTTCAAACCCCCTATCTGCTGCTTTTGATTTAATGACTGTAGGCAGGTGCCCCAATGTCTCTGAGCCTCAGCGGCTTCTCCATCCTAGTTTATGGGGATCCATGAAGATTAATGTACATATGGTGCCCAGCATAGATTTAGAAGATCCCCGCGCTCCCAATTGTTATTTTCTCTATCCCCTCAATACTCAAAGTGTAGTCTGAAGACCAGCAGCAGGAACATCCTCATCACTCAGGAGCTTGCTGGACATGCAGGATGGCAGTACCACACAGACCCCAAGAACGGACTCTGCATTTTAACAGGTGGCAAGTGATTCTAGTGTGACAGGCAGTTCTCCACACTGCTTTGACTGCACCTGAGTGACAAGAGCTGCAAAGCATTAGTAGCCAGCTGCAGTCACTACTTGTGTTCCCAATTGTGCTTTCTTTTCTTTCTTTTTTGGCAGTACTGAGGTTTGAACTCAGGGCTTTGCATTTGCTAGGCAGGTGCACTACCACTTGAGCCACTCCTCAAGCCCCTTTTGCTTTGGTTATTTTGGAGATAGAGCCTCTCTTTTTTGCTTGGGCTGGCCTGGACTGTAATCCTCTTATTTTTGGCTTCTATAATAGCTGGGATGACAAGCATGCACCATCATGTCCAGCTGTTGATTGAGATGGGGTCTCATAAACTTTTTGCAATTCATCTTGAACTGCAATCCTCCAAATCTCAACGTCCCAAGTAGCTATGGTTACAGACCAACGCCACCATGCCTGGCTTCCAATTGTGCCTTCTGTTGAGCCATCCCAATGTGGCAAGTCGTGGGCCTACCTGTCTATGAATTCCTTGTCCATGCATACTGGACACCCTCTGTGAGAGAATCCAACTCGCTATTAGAATATACTTGTAATACCAACAACCAACTTGAAAGATTTCAAATGTTTCCTTAAGACTGGGTCTTAAGAACCAAGAACACAGCTGAGTAACATTAAAAGAGAAATGAAAACATCAACTCCTCTTACATTTTGGAAAAAAACAGGAAAATTAATCTCAGGCCCTTCTAGCTGCAAAATGTCAACACTGAGGTTTTTCTGTGAACACCGTAAGTGGGTATCATGCTCTGTAATTTCCAAAGGCTTTCCTATACTGTATGTCCTTTAATCATCAGACAGTCCTGGACAGCAGGTATTCGAGTGTGCTTTGAACTTGAAGGGGACAGATGATATCTGTTCTGTGTGGCTGCCAAGTAATGTTTCATGGGTGTGAGGCTCTTTCCCAACCTCAGTATAATTACCAACAGGCAAACTATGGAGAGTAAACACCAGCCAACTTCACCTCTGGCTGACGTGAGCACTGAAATAGTCTCCTCTGATCTGGTTGGCTTTAGAGCAGACCAGGTGCAGGTCCTTGGCATGAGGTGAGGTGGGGTGGGAGGTGGAGATGAAGGAAATGCTGTCCTGCATTTTCCTTTTTGTTTAAGGCAGAGGTAGCAGTTTCATATCATTTGGGTTGCTCCTGACTTTTAGTGCTTAGGGTTTGGGGATAGCAAACCCTAAGATACTCTCATTTTCTTGGGACAGCACTGCAACAAAGAATTGAACTGTCTCAAAGTCTTCCTTATGAGGCAGTTTTTGCACAATTTTAATACAAACTTGAATGGTCACGAATGAAATTACCATGTTCATTGAAAAAAGATTGTACTTTGTTCTGTTCTGGACTTTACTTGAAAAGGCTCATCTTTGTGTAAAATGACTTTGCACATCATTTGGGTGGTATGCACACTGCAAACATAGCACTTTAGTCTGCGTTTAGTGGCTATAGCATGCAGAGTGATTATATGTATATGTGAGCTAGTAACATATTATTTTACTAGTAACATTTATTTTAAAATTTTATTTCAAATTTTAAAATGCCAAATAAAAAGAAACAGTGGCATTATTCATCTAAGTAATGTTTCATTCTCTTAATCTAAAGTTATTCATTATAAGTAGTTGTACTGGTTGTTCTTGGATGTTTACAAGCAATTTCTTCTCATAGGCTTGAGGGATTATGACCCAACCCTGGCAAGCAGGTGGCACCCCCGTGGGAGAGGCCTAGAGGGCCCTGGTCAATTCTAGGAGAAGCTCTAATTTTCTTCCTGCTGGTGAGCAGCGCTGAATTATCCCTCTGGAAGTGAATCCTCTTCCTCAGGACATTTACTGTGCAGCTTCAGTACCCTGGAGATCTTAGTGACTGTCCCAGGCAGGACTGAGTCAAAAACAAGGAATGTTGTTTCCAGGTAAAAGCAAGTGCTATCAGGCACAGAGTTCTTTCTTAGAATGGAGCTTTGCGCTGCATTCTAAACCTTGTTAGTAAGCTGCTTTTAGAAGAGCAGTTACATCGTACTTTCAATTAGAGCATATGGGTGCGCTATGAGCAATGAGGAATGTTGCTTCTAAAAGGAGAATGCCTCAAGGTATAAGCAAGTGCTATCAGGCACAGAGTTCTTTCTTAGAATGGAGCTTTGTGCCACATTCTTACTCAGTCTCTGAGGAAAAACTAACCCTAAATTAAACAAAAACAAACATAACCCAAATGAAATTCTCAGCTTCAGTGTGAGTTAGCTGCAAGGAGTGACCTTTGGAAACAACTGTGGTAATATATTTCCCTGTATCGCTGCAGTGAGCAAACAGAAAAACCAAAGAAGCCAATTGAGCTCTGCCAGCAAGAGAAGGAATGCTCATCTCTGAAGGTAACAAGTGTTTCGTTTCTTAATTACTGTGAGAACACTGGGTTTGAAATGCTGTTATTGCTAGAAGGAAAAGAAAACACCAATAATAATAATAATAATAATAATGAAAAGCTTTCTACAGCTCACATAATCTTGACACTGTTGATTTGGGGCTTAATTTCATGTAGACTAAAACAATTTCTTCAGTTATGAACAGAACACAAGCATCCAGTTGGCCTGAAGAATAACTGTGTAAGATTTATGGTTGGTTTAAGGAAGCCACATTTGTAGAATGGTCTCCATCCCCTGGAGAATTCTCAAAACCATTATCAGGGACCTTGAAACATTCTAAGTTTGCATCATTGGCTCCTTTCTCTCTCTTTGTGTACGTGTGCACATGTGCGTATTTGTGTGTGTGCTTCCTGCTTGATGAGTCTAGCTGACAACAACCTTGGGAACAGCTTGAAGAAATAATAATGTTAATGAGAAGTTTCTGGAGGGGTGGCTAGTTGTTTCCATCTGCAGCCTGGTCCATGGACTTGGTGAACATTTTACTTAAGCAGCCAATCCTTCCTCCAACATCTAGTAGGTGGCCAGCCTCCCAGATCCCTCCTTCCGGCTCAAATCAATATTACATCACACAAACCAAGCAGGTGATTGAAATCATAAGAGATAAACAGGCCTTACCTGCTGATGCAGTAGAAAGCAATGAGCCGGAATAAATCCGCAAAACTGATTCCTGAGCCTTCCAGGGAAAAGGCTGGAAAAGAGAGATTCCAGAAACCAGCTGAGTCTCCCTCAGTGTGTCTGGGGAAGGAAGGGCTTTCTAAGGCAGCATGCGTGGGACCAGCTCAGTCCCTGAAATGAACTACTGTGTGGCTTATCAGAACCAGCTGCAAAGAGGATGCACGACCGTAAACAGTCAGACTGCCAGATGCAGGCGGTAAACAGTCGGGAGACCGAGAGCCTCATCCCTTGACTCATGCTGTGCACATGCTCAATGCTTGGTAAACACACCAGACAAACTTGAGTTGCACAATGCTCTTTGTTTAAAAGTCTGGAGCACAACATTGGGCATAGGCAAGAAGACAGTCTGGCTACAGTGAGAGGCCACCAGCAGGACTAAGGCAAGGCCCACACTGCCCTTGACCATGGGCCTCCTGGGCCACACTCCTTTTTGCAAAACCAGGGTCCCACTGACGAAGGCACAGGGCAGAGGGACATGGAACCTGGGGGATGGTTCAAAACTCCTAGAAATCAGGTTTTGGTTAAATTCAAGATGAAAGACTCTAAAGCCACGTCCTCCCAGGTGACCTCATTGCACAAGTTTCTGAATGGAAGATGCACTCGGGAAAAAAGCTGTGTTCATTTTGTCTATCTCCCAAGTGGTGGAACAGAGAGTGGCTCAACCTCAAATCCCCATGCTTCTGCCAACAACCTTGCTGAAATTCTACTCAATTGTTATTCCAAATACACACAGTGTTATGAAGATATACTCAATCACGGACACTTTTTATTCCCTTCTTGAAAACACTTCAGGACTGGAGGTGTGGCTCAAGCAATAGAGGGCCTCCTGGCAAGCTGAAAGCCCTATGTTCAAACCCAATACAGCCAACAAACAAAAACCAAACAACAACAAAACCTCCATACCCTTATTTGCTTTGCTTATTTTGTATCATTTCGCTTACTTGTATCTTTGTAGTACTCTGAAACACAGCTAGCCTTCTAAACATATACTGTCACAGACAGACATATACACAGAAGCAACAAGCACACATGTGGGTCACAGTCTCTAGTGTTCAGTACAGGGAATCTGTTTTGGGTGGGCTAACTTCTCTGAAACTCACTTTTATCATCTATAAAATGAACAGTCATAAGACTTTGTCTCCCAGAGGAGACAAATTAAATAATTTATTTGAAAGTACTGTATAAAGACATGAAGTAGCTTTTAAAACTAAACCCTCATTGTCTACAAATAATGAAAATATGTTTTTTTGTAGTAAGCCCTTCCATCTGTAGTAAGAAAGGACCTGGTCAGGAAGGTTCCATCATGATGGGACCAAGGCCTGAGGAAACAAGTTACGCCCAGGTTAACGCTTTGCCCAAACTAGCTCTTCCAATCTCTCGAAGTCACCGGAGAGGATTAGGGAAGCTACTGAGCTTCCCTCTATTATATTAGGAAGGCAAAATCTCGGGCCACAAGGACCTCAATGAACATGAGGAAGATTTCACAAACACTGACTGTGCTTCTAGAAGCGAAAGAGGGAAGAGGCTTCCAGGCCACCTCATCATGGTGAACTTTGGATATTAGAAGGGATTTACAAACCAGTAAGATTTATGCTGGGCATGGGCGCATACCTGTAATCCCAACACTCCTGAAGGCAGGAGGATTGTAATTTCCAGACCAGCCAGGGCCACACAGTGAGACCCTCCCCAAACAAACAAGTAAACAAACAAACCACATATCTATACGATCTATCACTGCTTAGCCAGCAGACTTTCAAAAGTCAATTCAGGATCATTTAATCAACTTAAAATTCATCATTAATCCACTTAATATAAATTCAGTATCTTTAAAACAATGGGTCTGAAATGCATCTTTGGATTACCTTCTCATATGTATTATTGGCCAGGTTCTGTCTGCTCAGATGGACAGGTTTCTCTGAAATCCTTGACTTTGTGAGTTCTATGTTTACACTTCAACAGGAAGTAGATCACCAAGAATGGCAGGTTTGATCTCTGCTAGAAATGTACCCACTACAGATTCAATGAAAGGTCATTTGGCTCAGGAAGACTGACCTCTGCACTGAGTATAAATCTCACCTCTGTCCTTAAATTGACCTCATTACCTTGGGTTTCTTCAAATGCAGAAACAAAGGCAGGGTTAGGGGGAGATGGAGAAGCAAGTGAGAACACTGGTTCCAGACCTGCTTCCAAACTTGCCTCTCTGACCTTCATCCCTCAGCTTGTAAACCTGACATGTGCAGAAGCCTCTAACCTCTTTGGTGTGCAGACCCACCTTCTGATCCTTTCTTGGAGACTGGCAGTACATCAGAACTGCATGTTCCCTTTTTTATTTAAAAACTTGGCCTCCTTACGCTTCACATTTCCAATGACTGAAGGTAGAGAGCAACCATAGAACAGCAGAAAGAAAACCAGTGCTGCTGAACACCATCTCCCCTTACAACTTCTGCCAGTAATTTACCCAGCAGCCTAGATTCTGCCCTGATAAGCTGCATTTCATGGAAGACTGCACAGTCAGTGCCTGAGGGAGCTGTCTGCTAGAGGATTATTTACTCCCAGAGATGTGAAGGCACACGTTTTAGCATTAGATCCTGTGAAAAGGCTCTGTGGCTGCAGTCCTTCCTGTGACAGCTTAGTCATCCATAAACCTGGGGACCAAACCCACACTCTCCCTAACTGGGGAAGGGGCAGGGATGCCAGTAACCATTAAACCCTTACCATGCGCCTATCAGTAGGATGGACACTGTGAACAACTCAGAGGTTACCATCACTCCATTGCTCTGATGAGAAAAGCAAAGCTTCTGAGGTAGGTCATTCAGTGCCAGGACTCAGTCCCTAACATTCTGTCTGTCTGTCCATCTCAAAAACCAGGCTCCTGCCATGAGATTTGAGGCCTTCACATGAACTCAGTCCTGACCATCACTTACTGTATGTGCTTTCCTTTATGGCAAACTCCTTGAGTGGGGCTCCAAATTCACAGGGCAGGCGAAGGGAGAGGACCTTCTTCTGCATTTTGGTAGATTTACGAACCAGAAAGATCTAGTGGCAAGAAGAAAAAATCAAGTTCAGGAAATTTCTAGAAGGTTGGAACCTGGGCATATGATTTCCCTTACCCCATATGTCTGTGAATAGAACCTCCTTCCCAGAAGAACTACATGACTCAGCACAGGCCCCTCTATTGCCAGAGAAAGTTCTGAGAGCAGGCTGAAGAGCTCTCTGTTGATAACTGGCTTCAAGGAAATCTACTTTCCCTTTGACCCAGCCTTCTCCACGCACCTGAGAGCTCCCTTAGTCTGCAGAAGTGTTTTCAGTGTGGTGAAAACCTGTGGTACACACTCTCAAGCCCCCATTGCATATAGGCATCTTGGTTGATGAAACTTAAATTCTAAACACAGATAACATGGCTAAACCATAGGGCGAGGTAGGGACCACTGGTTCATCTGTCTCATGGTATAATTAAGATAGGAGTTTGAATTTATTGCCAATAGTGAAAAAGCAGGAGCTGTTTTGTATTTTTAGTTTTTACATTAAAATCTGAGTTTCAGCTTCTCTTGAAAAATGAGATAATATGATGGCAGCAATCTTCTGAAGACAAAAAAATGGCTGCTCCGTTTGGAAATGTCCTGTATTCTTTGCTATCCAATATGGTAGCCAGAATGGCTCATGAGCAATGAAGATGTGGCTAATGAAACTGAGGAACTGAATTTCTAATTTTAGTTATTTTAATTTAGGAGGATTTAAATAGTCACATGGAACAAGAGGCTAGCATATCAGACACCACCACCAATCAGATGCCAATGTCAGATACCAAACATTGAATAACTGCTTTTTTTGTTTTTAGGAACTTGTATAGACTCATGGCATGGTTTGGTTTGTTTGTTTTGTTGTTCTATTGTGTGTGTACGTGTGTGTGTGCGCGCATGTGCACATGCTGGAGATGGAACCATGGAACCCAGAGCCTTGTACACGCTAAGCAAATGTTCTATCACTAAGTTACATCCCCAGCCCTGTGGATTGGTCTTGCTTAGAGGAGACTGTAGTCTTGGATAGACAGTAGCTGAAGAAACTGAATCAGACTTTGATTCATATGGAAAGCCACTGAGACAGGCAAAGAAAAAAAGCACTACATCAGCAGCCAGAGTAGACAACTATGAGGATGTAGAACTCACTTTTGAAGGTTGGGTTCTAAGTTGATGCCTGGATCCTGGAGGGTTTCCAGGCTCAGAATGAAAGAGAGCAGTAAGGGTAACTGAGGACTCCAGAACCAGGCTTATCCTCAGTATCCATTCTCAAAAGGTCAAGCCCAGCTCCTCCTGCTTACATAGGTGCCCTACTGAACCCTGTACTTTCCATGGTAACTGAGCAGATGAAGACAGAAAGACAAATTATGAAGAGTTCTGTTTCTGGATTTGCCTCTGTAGTTTCCAGAATTTCCCTTCACTATAACCAAGTACACTCTGGGAACAATGCTTTCTAAAAGCCATGAAGAACTTCCAGGAAGTAATTCCCAGCATTTCTCTTTAAGACAGCATCAGCCCTGTCTCATGAGGGTCTGAGTCTTACCCCTGGAGGCTGGGACTGCAGGATTTCTGCTGCCTCCTCCTCACTCAGACTCAGCTGCAGCCATATGGGGTGGGTGTGCAGAAGCCGGTCCAAGATGCTGAGCCTGTTGGAGAGGCTGTCATAGCCAGAGTCCCGGGGACAGGTCTTTACATCTTTCTCCTCTGAATAACCATCATCCTTGTGTCTTACCATGCTAGGAGAAAAAGAAAAGCAGGGGTCAATGGCTGCTGCTAATTTCCTATAGGCTCATAGAGCAGAGCAGACCAGGCATAGCATGTGTACCATTCTGGGGTCACCACCTTATTGTCTCCCCCTCAACACTAAAGGCGTTGAGGACAGACAGATGTTTATTTTACCATATAAATCCCTACTATTAAAGAGAACACTTTGTATTCAACAGATCCAACCCTCTATTTTAATCCCATTTTCAGAAGGTCCTAAGCACTCTAAATATTGCTTATTTCAGGCTTTGTCTTTAAGCATAAAACATTTCTGACTATGAGGACAGAAGCCTAAATGTTAAATTCTATATATGGCAACCATGAGGTTTTAATGCTCAACAGCATCCACTAAAGCATGAATACAGCCCCTCCAAAGGCAAAATGCACCTGCATATATTCATTTTGCACCTGAATGATTGGATTTCATTTCTTCTGAAAATGAAGAACATTATGTATAATAAAACATCACAGTGAAATGGCAAAATCAGTGACATTATTCTCAGTGTCCCTGGAGTGGAAATAACCCAACTGTCTATCAATGATGGTAGATAAAGTAAATGTGGTCTATCCTTACAAAAGAGTATTATTCAGCTAGAAGAAGGAATGAATTACTAAGACATGCTAGCACCTGGATAAACCTTGAAAATACTATGCAAAGTGAAAGAAGGCAGGCATACAAGACCATGTATTATATGACTCCATTTACATGAAGAGGTCAGAACAGGCAGATCCCTAGAGAGTAGATCAGTGATTGACAGATAATAGAGAAGGGGACCAGAAGAGACTGGTACCAAGTTTCTTTTGGAGGTGACAGAAATGTTGTGGAATTGGATCATGGTGTTGATTGTACAACATTGTAAAAATACTGAAACCCCTGAATGAATCACCTAATTTTAAAGTGTGAATTTTATGGTATGTGAATCCTATCAATAAATAAACCATATTGACCTCCTTTGGTACCAATGATAATTCTGACAGTGAGATTTTAATCTCTATTTTACAATGAGAAAAATGAGGCCCAAGAAGTCTTTGAGCTGTCCAGAGTTGTAAATAGCCATAAAATGACAAGTGCTAAAAATTAAAACAAGATCTGGTGTTTATTCAACTTTGTGGGTAACAAAGAAGATTGAGAACATAGGAAAGTTTGCATCTATATGGTATCTACTATATGCTAGGATCTTTACATATATTCTCTCATTTACTCTTACATAGTAATATTTACATACTTCTCATAGGCACTATGATCCTGTTTTTTTTTTTTTTTTTAAAGAGGACCAAGAGGCTCAGACCAGCTAAATATCTCACTCTAGGTCATGCACTTGCTCAGAAGCAAGGGGTTCTCAAATTCTGATCCAAGGATGCTTGGCTTTGGGGTCTCTCTCCCTCTCAGCCTTGTCACTTTCTGTGGTTCTCAGGGGACATATCACCAACATGGTCCTGGAGCAGCCAGTAAGAACATCAAACCTCACTGTTCATGCCCAAAGGGGCAGATGAGCTTAGGGTATACTTGGTCATTAGACATCTGAACCCCAAGAAACCCAAGTGTGTGGCCTGGATAAAATCTTTAAAAAGGATGGATGCTGAAACTGAATGGATAGTGAGAGTGAGGACATTAAAAAAGGAAAAGTGAGATTGTTCATGTGGATAACACTCCTAAGAAGTAGGACTGAACAGCCAACCTATGCTGATAATCAACTAACTGAGGGTATGAGGTAGAAGGATCATGAGTTCAAGGCCGGCCTGGGCTACATAATGAGATCTTGTTTTGAAAAACCAAGGTCTGGAAGTATAGCTCAGTGGTAGAGTACTTCACTAGCATGTTCAAGGCCCTGTGTTCCATCCCCAGTACCACAAAAAATAAGTAAAAGCCACAATGAAAGTGCAGGGGCTGGTCATAATCCCCTTGCTATCCCCCACCCCCACCTTCTTGGCTTTCTTCAGACCTAAATAATTTCATGTTTCCATTCAAGTTTTACCTTTTAGGCCAGGTATAGTGGTGCACACCTGCAGGCCCAGCTACTTGGGAGGCTGAGTCAGGAGGATACCATCTCTTCCCTCCATTTGAGCCCAGGAGATCAAGGTCAGCCCTGGCAACATAGCTAGACCCACCTCAAAAATGATTTAAAAAGGGTTATCTTTTATTTCCTCCCAAATATATGAAAGTCTTACTTTACTTTTACTGTATGTTTCCAAAATGGGGTCTATGTCAAAAAAATGGGCAGTTCCTCTTTTTTACAAATTCCATTCCAGTACTTCTGGGAATACTGAAGTGACATTTGAAGCTACAAATGAATATTTGCAACTTCCTCTTCAGAAGGAAGTTGGTGTTAAAATTCCAATCACATAAAGAAGTTAACTTTAGACCAGTAATTCTCAACTCTGGCTGCCCATTGAAAAATCACTTGAGAAGCTTAAAAAAAAGTCAATGGCTAGACTGCACCCCAGATCAAATAAATGAGACATTTTGGAGTTTTTTTTTTTTTTTAAGTCCCCCATATCCCAACATGGTAAGCCAAGTTTATAACCACTGGTTAGGATTAGCACTTTCCAAACCTGAGAGTTTGGAAAACTCTTTGTGGCAATCCCCATGAGTCTTGTAAAGCCACACACTCCCGGTTTCAGTCCCAAGGTGGACACAGAGCTGCCACATTTCTAATGAGCTCTGGGAAGTATGGAAGCTGCTAATCTAAGGGCCACATTTTAAGGAATCCTTGCTTGAGAACTGAGCGCAATGCACCCACATGAACTCGGATCATGTTAGGTGATCAGAGTTAGGTGTCTGGTTTCGTTAGAGAGAGGGGGATGGATAACATGGCATTGGAGGAATTCTTGGAGCTCAAATGAAGATATTATTGGAGGGCTGGGGATGCAGCTCAGTAGTATAGCACTTGCCACTAGGCAAGACCCCAGTTGGATCCCCAGTACTGCAACAACAAAATAAAACAATACAAAATTCATCCACACCATATCCAGCTGGCTATATTTTATTGTGACCAAATTCAAGAGTTTAATACAACAGTTGTGCCCCTCATGCATGCAGTGAATAAACAGGCTGACACTTCTTCCTTCCTGATAAAGGCATATCCTATGAGTCCTCACTTGTTTGAAGATGCTAAAAAGCTTTTGTTCTGAGGATTGACCTCAGCATAAACAGCCAAGGTCCAGACAGGAAGATGGTAAGTAAGACTCATGGAGCCTCATAAAAGGCCAACCATAAAATTAGACCTTGCCTTTGCAAATGACTCAGCTAACTCCTTGATTCAGCCAGCCTCGTGAGGTTTATGGTGTATCATTACAGGACATACTGGCTTTTATCAGGGTCACCCTTCAGGGAAGAATCGATGGACGTGCAGTGAATGCTATCGTCCCAGCCAGAGCCCCTGTGTCCTGGCTGCTATGGGCAATGGCTGTCAACAGCTCACAGATGTTTCACTTCTCCCAGAAATGCCTGGAAAGTTATACCCTCTTCCTGGGCTGAGACCCATTGTTGATGACATACTGATTTGTCATGGTAGAAAAGTGGCCTTCTTGTCTCAAAGTGGGACAACTCTGGGGTACTGTCCAGCTGAGTTCCCCCTGGGGTCAGTCTAGACCCACATCTTTGCCTTCCTTCTCAGTCTATCCCTCATCCCTTACTCCTCCCTCATCCCTCACTCCTCTGCAGCCCCCAACTAGAAGCCATTTGCACAAGAATCCTTGCCTATGGATTCCTCTAGGGAACTCCCCCTAAGACAGGAAAGTTACAGAAACTAAAAAGTATTAGAAATAGAAACTAGAGAGTAAGAGAAACTAGTGACTTCCAAGACAGACAATATGCAAACAAGAGGGAAGGCAAATAATGAGTGGTTTAGAACATAATGAGATTCCAAAAATGACAGGGTCACAGTGGGGTGGCTGAAGTGCCAGCCTCAGGCCTACGACTCAATCTCACATAGCATCAAAGTTTTTAAAAGCTACGAAGGACAGTTGATGATATTTGAATAAGGGAATATATTAGATATACATTAGCTAACATTGTATTAATGTTTATTTTTCTGAATGCAATAGTTTTGTTACGGTTATATAGAAAAATACTTTTTTTTTTTTGGTGTGACTCGAGTTTGAACTCAGGACTTTGTGCTTGCAAACCAGGCACTCTACCGTTTGAATCATATCTCTAATTCATTTTGCTCTGATTATTTTGGAGATGAGGTCTTGTGAGCTATTTGCCTGGGTTGGCCTTGAACCCAGCGATCTGCCTGATCTCAGTCTCTCAGGTAGCAGAGGACAGGAGTGAGACACCAGAGCTGGTGAAAAATACTCATATTTGTAGGATATATACACCAAGGAATTCAGAAGCAAAATGTAAAAATGTTTGAAGTTATCACATGTTCTTCTTCCCATTTCCCTCCCCCCAAAAAAAGAATAAAAGAAAAAAATAGAGATAAAGCAAGTGTAAAGAAATTCAACAATTGGTGGACTTCAGTGAATAGTATTATTCTTGCAATTGAAATATCTCAGTGTAAGAGGCTGGAGAAATATTCCACATCTCAATGGGGTTTTCTGAGTATACAATTCATTCATTTATTCAATAATTACCATTAAGTCCAGGCATCTAAGCCTGCTACCACCAGGAAATGAATCTCAGACCAGGATTTAGGGAGAGACACAAGTGAAAACACTACAAACCACAGACTAGTGCACAAATGTCAGGTGCCTCTGAGGGCAGAGAACAAACACCTACTGGAAAGCTCCTGTCCTACACCTGTCCCCATGGCAACCAGGCATCATGACTCTGAAGTAGACTGGTGAGTAATTCCATCCACTCTGGAGAGCAGTGTCTCCAGCAGCAGCAACCCTTGCTTTAAGGCTCTTTGGAATGTGGGTGAGTGGCTGTCCCACTGGGCTAGATTCCCTTCATTTGCAGGGCCTGAGGAAGTTAATAGCCTTAAGTGACAATAGAAAGCTAATTCTGAGTAGGTTATCCAGGCTG